CATGGTCAACCACTGACTGGAATCTCCAGAAGGGTGAATCACAATCAACCCCTTCTTTCGTTATAAGTTGATTTCTTCAATTATTTGTCACAGTGACAGTAAACTGACGAGCTGACCAGCTGGACACAGAGTTCAGACGAAATTGTAGGATGCAGTGCCCACCTGTGTGAGGTCTACATATGACTAGGTCCCATCCTGAATGGCTGGTGGTGAATTTGTGGGTTCCCTACTACCACCGCCAGACCAGGCACCGCCAGACCAGGCACCGCCAGACCAGGTACCGCCAGACCAGGTACCACCAGACCAGGTACCGCCAACGCTGAATTTGAAAACATGATTAAAGAATCCAGTGAAGACTTTCTTTTCTTTCTGAGTTTCTTTCAGAATAACAGCTCCCAAACATTATGACCTAAAGACTCCATTTACACACTTTAAAATGTTCAAGGATGCCCCATAATAATCTCAGTTATGTCCACAAATGCTTGAGACTATTAGAAGTCAAAACTTCACGGCCAAATCAGCTATTAAACCATTTAGAAATAAATATCCCCATTATGCTCATTATTACAAATAATCCATTTTAAAGAAAAATAGCTATATTTTCACTGTTCACAAATTTACAAATGTCTTTAATGGTTAACAGGAGAAATCAGGTGGATTTACACATTTCTCTGTGTGTTGTCTGCAGGAATGCATTATTTTAGTCCAGGAATGTGAGGAAAATTCTTCACTTAGACGAGTAGAACAAAAGAAATATTTTATTATTTCTAGGTAATTTGGGCTGAGTTTTCCTTAGCTTTCACTCTCAGCAGGGCTAGCTCCTTAAATGTCAGTACAACATGGAAACCAAGTGTTTATGTTTGCATTCTGTGATGTTAACTCATTGGTGTCGGGGTATCTGCTCTGATTGCCGCGACTCCAATGGGCATCGCCTAATTCAGCGTTATCTTCAACTAACTGCGTGGGGCTGAGGTTTGATTTCCCGGGTTATGGTTTGGTCACCCAAGACTGCCTTTACTTTGGTGTCAGTAACCCACTTCCTCCCGTGAGGGCACACCTCCTAGGGTTTCTGATACTTCTCAAAATAGCACCACCAGCTGGCGACCAACAACTCTGAGACTATCCCGGGCACTTCATATCCAAACCGTAATACCACACCTCCAAGTCCGACAGCTTGTTAAGGCATGTCCTAGAACTCAGGAAAATGACTTACTAACTGTAGTGCGTTCATTGTGACTCAGCAACAGCCACACCGAGGTGGTGCGTGGGGCGAGCTTGCCAGGCGGGGGGGAGGGGGGGGGCGGACGTATCTTCAAGGGGCTGTTGATGCTGGCTTTTCCTAGTGTGCACTGGATAGCGAGAAGACAGTCCTGACGTCATACAGGTCAAACCACTTGTCTTTGAGGATGGCCAGCAGACGTTGGAGTGGTTGCACAAGTGAGGAGCTGCACTGTGGACACATGGTGAGGGTAGGCACTGGGGAACTGTGGGGAGAGTTCACTCCTCAGCTCTCCAATCATTATGTCAGCGTCTCCATGCCTGGGCCCTATTCATTTGAAAAGACTGTCTGAATGGCTCTGGTAGCCCGTTTTCCACAGGAACAGGGAAGCGCCCCAGCTGGGCTGGGTTCCTTTGCTGATGTGGGGAGCAGCCGGGTCACCATTTTGGGAGTCCATCTGCTGGTGCTGGTAGGAGGTCCCATAAGTTGCTTTTTATTGGGATATTTTTGTCACAGCAAAAGAAATGGCCACTAAAACGCCACAGGTCACAAGAGACATCATTGCTTCCTAGAAGACATTCTCATTTGGGTTTTTACTGCAAGAATATGGTGTGGAAGGGAGAATTCTCCACTGACTCAGGTTCATTAGGACTCACTGATAGGTCCAGGCTGTGCCATCAGTTTTATCCTCATCACTCTTGTGCCACCAATAGATTGATAGAGAACATAACAAACAATACCCTTATGTTGTACAAAAGAAATCATTTTGTCATTATAGATCCTGTGAAAGCACTTTGGAGATGATCGTGGGAAAGAACGTTTTGGGAACAGGGACTTAGAAAGAGGAGAAGCAAATGGTTTCACCGGCCTCTGACCTGGAAGTGGACTCAGATTTTAAAGTACCCATTTCTGTACTGTTCTGAGTGCCCCACTCTTGTTCTTAGAAGGATCTGTTAGATAAACTATGGGTCAGGGTTAGGGTTAATCTCAACGGGACAGTGTAGAAATACGACAGCAGCAGGACTGTAGGGTTGAGCGGACTGTGAAGCTGAGCCCATAGTTCTACTCCATATCGCAACCAACAGTGTCAGATTGTCCTTGAGAATGTCCTGACTTAAGTCAAATGTGAACTCAGGTCTCCCTGGGGTCTTCAAATGAGACAGGGCTTATTTCTTAGTTCAGGTGCACTAAACTCAAAGAATCGAGGTCCCAGAAACTCAACAGCCGCCCATGCCACTCTGAACAAATGGATATCAGGTTTCTTGATTTAGCATTGCAAAGAATGACACGCAGGGAGAGTGGAATAGAGGCTAGCAGGTCTTTATTGGGGGCGAGAAGCAGCTCTCTGTGAGGAAGGAAACTCAAATAGGATTTACCAGTTTGGCTTTGACTGGACCCTCTTTTACGCCCAGCAAACAAGCCTGATTGGCCTGGCTGAGCGACTTCTGTGTTTTCTGAAGGGAATGGATGTGGGGGAGACTGCTGGGGGCAAAGTAGGAGAGATGCAAGCTCAATAAAAGCCTGGTGGTGGGAGGCCAGCTGGAGGAAGACCCCACCAGAAGTTTCAAGGAGGGAGATGGGGGAACAGAGGTGAAGGTGGCAAGATGAGGGAGGGACTGAGGGAGGAAGCAAGTGGCACAGGATCCAGGAAGTGAGGACAAGGGCTGGTAGGCAGCTATTCTCAGAGTAAAAGCCATTCAGTGGTCAGCCACAATCTTAATATGTTGAGCTTTTTAAAACTCACAGCTTCTGAGTTAAATTAAAAAAGAAAAAAAAGACAGTTTTGTTTTTGTTTTGTTTTGTTTTGTTTTAATCTCACAGAAGCTGTGTTCCCGGAGCACAGTCCAGTGCTTGGGGGCAGAAGAACAGCCTCTGAGCTAAACCTACAGCTCTGGAGCTAACTCAGATTATAGGGGTCTACTTTGCAGTCAGCGTCTGCACTGGGTTCATGGGGAGGCTTTGTGCTAGTTCATGGTGACTCCTGAGATAAGTTCACTGAGAAACCAACCCTGCCAGTTTGTAAAGGTTTTTCTCCATAGGCCTTTTAGCCTTATCTAGATGGAAGAGGGAGTGGGGAGAAGGAGGAGGAGGAGGAGGGAAAGGAGGAGAGAGGAGAGGAGAGGAAAGAGGAGGAGAGGGGAGGGGAGGGGAGGAAAGGAGTGGAGAGGGGAGGAAAAGAGAGGGGAGGAGAAGAGAGGAGAGAAAAGGAAGTAAGGGGAGGGGAAGGGAGGGGAAGAGAAAAGTACTGTACCTTTCATCTTTATCACATGGACAAGTCAAACTACCTAACTGCCAAACCAGTAAAGGTTACTTTAAAATAGCTGGCTCTGAGTAAAACAATACCCCAAACCCTGAGGTCACCACTAGCACCAGGCATATACCTACCTTGCCTCTTCCTCCTTTTTTTTTTTTTTTTTTTTGAGAGAGAGAGAGAGAGAGAGAGAGATTAAGGTTCGTTGTGTAGCGCTGGCTGTCCTAGAGTTCCCTCTGTTGTCCAGGCTGGTCTCAAACCTAGAGACCCGCCTGCCTCTGCCTCCTATGCTGGGATAAAAGGCAGGCTCCACAGAGCTCGGCCAGCCAGTCCTGCTTCTTAAGCAAGCTTTAATAAAACCCAGTAAAAGTCCCATCAGTTAAGAAACTATGGATAGGTCTGGAGAGATGGCACAGTGTTTGAGCGCTGGTTTGCAGAGGATCTGAGCTGAGTTCCTAGCACCCACATTGGGTAATTCACAACTCATTCTCGGCTCCATCTGGAAGGGCTCTCATGCTTTTTTGGACTCAGTTGGCCCCTGTACTCAAGTACACACACCCACACAAGGACACGCACATATACACATGATTAAAAATAATAAGAGCAAATATTTAAAAATGAAATTATGGATGAAGGAAGGTGAGGTGCCTGGCACTTATCCCGCCCTGCTTTCATGAGGCTGAGACTGGAGGATTGCCTCGTGTGTGAGCTTCATAGTGGTGAGCTCCAGGCCAGCCTGCGCTACAGTGAGGTGTGGTGTGTTAAAAACCAAACCAGAATAAAACAAGTAACTATTTAAGGAGGAATAGAGATCTGTACTGTACCGAAGCCCGTGAGACCTGACCTTTACTCAGGTTAAAAAAAAAAAAAAATGAACGGGTGATTATTGATCTATTTATGTGTTTTATTGTTATCATCATTGCCGTGTTCTAAGTTTTGGATCTCACTAGCCTTCTCTGAGGCGTTTTCTGGCGCGGGGCTGTTGGTGCATCTAATTTCTCCACCGGAGGGTAAATGGAGACCGGTGGGGACCCGGGCACCCAGGATGAAGGCCACGCCTCCCAGGCTTGCAGCGCGGACGCGCGCGCGAGCATGATAACAATAACACACATAAATAGA